TACACAATCATGAAGACACTCGTGGTATGTGTATCTACATCTCTCCAACTGTTTTGTGCAGGATTTGGAGACATGTAGCGTATAGACAATACACATGGTTCACCCATGGATACTTTGGACGCAAGCAGCGGCGTGTGATACCGTCTTGCGTGGTATCGAAGATAAAGCAGCTGTACCAGAAGCCAATGCAGATGCGCACTGGGGCTTTGAGGAAGCAGTTGGACATGATGATGATGATGATGATAATGCTTCTTGGCCTGGTTGACGTTCACATAATCATTGGTACATGTGCATGCAGAATGTAGAAAACAGTTGACAGACACAGTTTATAACTATTCTTGACTCGGGCAATATTTGTGTTTTCAGGTGGGCGCATGCTTTACACCAATGCAGCTGCATGAACAATCTGGTAAAGTTGACAGATACAATGGCACAAGACTGTACTGTGTTCGGGAGCATGGGGTTGTGCCGGTGCCGTTGCGAATGCCGAGAATGGTTGTACGCACATCGTTCAACAGGTCCTTCAAGAAGTTGCAGGACATTGTCGTGCAGCTTCTTGGCCACTTTGTGCTCTTGGTGTATTCCAGCCTGTACCTGAGCACACCCTCCTTGGTTTTGGCGTGCGCTCTCCCTATATTGGCATTGTGGGACAGACATGCCGACTGTACCCGTGCTCTCATGCCATTGTACGAAAAGTGGACACGTTTTGGTGCCCACTTCAGTATGACAGCATGGAAAATTTCCAGACTACAAATCATACGGTACCTTGTATTTGTGGCAGTGTAGCTGCAACCGGAAAGTAACGCAATGGAAACTTACAGATGAAGAGAACCGAAATAACACACATGATAACGTTCACAGTTTCCTCTGAGACAAAAATGCGATAATACTCATAAAAAGGACACACTTCAGGCTCATTACAAACATCTTGAAAGTTTTTGTCTTCACAAGTATACTTTCAAGCCTTCTCATCAGGTGAAATACAGGCAAGGGAAAAGGAACAGGAACAGTGGATTAAATACAGTAATCCACAGATGAGAAGGCTTGAAAGTATACTTGTGAAGACAAAAACTTTCAAGATGTTTGTAATGAGCCTGAAGTGTGTCCTTTTTATGAGTATTATGATAACGTTCCATGTACATTACATCAATTCTCGACTTCACTGACTAGGATTTTGAGTAGAGGACTTTGAGTAGGACTGTAGTCGTTTAGAGCTACGTTCTGGACGGCACAAAATCATGCCGTTCACTTACCTCATCGTGCTCACGTTCCTGGAAGTAAATCGAAGATGGTCTGCTTTTGCTGGCAGCAGAGGTAGAGGAGCTACTAACTATTAGTATGACATGCACCGCCAAGTTTCAGGATGGCAGAGACCCTGGCGTCAAGCGTCGCTGCTGATTCTGCTTATAGCCACCAATGCTTTGTGCAAACTCTTGTTGGAAATCTCTTTCATAGCACATCTCAGTGAAATGCTCAGTGCAGACACGATTATTTTTCGTCGGAGAAAAATCCTTCCAACATACTCTCCATAGCCAAGCTGTCGTCAGGTTCGCGTCAGCCAGAGGAAAGCCATGCTACGACAGCCCGCAGGCGCCTCTTTCTTCGTGACATTGTTGCATCCAGAGACGCAGCAGCGAGTCGTGACAATAAATCGGGCATGGCACAGAACAACAAGCACTTCAACAATGGCCAAGGACTTTTCATTCTTGCTTCAATTATTTGAAAATTTCATCTGAGTAGACCGGGCTGAGAACGTTTTACGTCACAGGGTGGGAGGGGGCCCCCTCGTGCCAAATATGGAAAATTGCAATTGGTAATTTAGGTATGTTATCCTTGTCGTAGAAGCTTCCGGTTTTCGCCATTCTACCACTTACGATATACTCTAATGGATTCCGCAATAAAAAATGGGGGTGATTTTGGACCGGAGTTCCCCTTTAATTGGGAACTCACGAGGAAAACATGGATGCAGTGAATGGGATTTTCGGTCTTTGACCACATGCTGGTGAGCTGATCTACTCACCTCCCACCGCTTTAGGAGCTGCATCTGCGCCTTGATCCTTGAAGGGTGGTGGCGTTCCTACGGATGCGGAAAACTCGGCCTCTATATAGAGAAACCGAGTCTCATGTGAACCGTGAAATTTTTTTAAAACACAGCCATTGATACACTACTCAGTATGCACAATCATACCACAATTATTATGGGCCTCCTTGGTGCTAGTGTCTTTCCACCCCCACCAAATTTGCAGGCATAATCCATCCTCAGTGTTGAGATATTTTGTTATTTCAGTTTTTGTTTACTCACGACATTCTTCGTGTTGATATGCTTAGGAAATTGCAAGCTGAAGTAGTGGATCTCCAAAGTCGCTTGGATGATTCTGAATCGGAGTCCAGAATGACAGAGACAAAGTCACAGCACACACCTACTGCCACCGCCACCGCCACTTCGTCTGATAGTTCAGTTGTAAGTTTACTAGTAGTGTAGTTCCTCTAGAAAAGTACAATAGATTTGGCCTGGCCTGCTGGTGCCATGTGTGTGCATGGGGGGAGGGGGTCAAGATTCACTGTTGAGTACATCTACATAAACTTCAAGTGTGCGCATGCTATCCGTAAGGAATGATGGTTGGTTTTCATCTCTTTCTCCTGTCACGTGATTCCAACAATCTCTGTTGTTTATCAGAAATTCAGAATCCAGATATGATGGTGGTGGTGGTGCTGCTGCTGCTGCTCATCCATTGAGACTCGTCTGTAGTTTGTAATTCTTGGCAGCATACGCTCTAGTGCACTTAACAGTCGTTCCTATGTCTTTGTTTGCTGTGGCTGATATGCTGGCATTCTTACATTCATTTTAGGTTTCAGATTTGAAGAGAACCCTAGCTGACGTCAGGTTGGTATTTACACTTGTAACGTTGTTTCTAGTCACTTACATAGCAATGAGTCTTAGGTGTGTTCTTTTATCTTTTATCTTTCTTAGAAACTACTGCTTTCGATAGATGCATTCAATAGATGCATTCAATAGATGCATTCGATAGATGCATTCAATAGATGCATTCAATAGATGCATTCGATAGATGCATTCAATAGATGCATTCAATAGATGCATTCAATAGATGCATTCAATAGATGCATTCAATAGATGCATTCACCTTCCTCCCTTCAATAGATGCATTCAATAGATGCATTCAATAGATGCATTCAATAGATGCATTCAATAGATGCATTCAATAGATGCATTCAATAGATGCATTCAATAGATGCATTCCCTTTTCTACCCCGCACAGTAGATTCTGGTACCATCCTCTGCCGGCAGCCCTAGTAGACTCGAGGCCCTAGTAGACTCGAGGCCAGTAGATGTGGTAGACGTTGGTTGAGGTGCAGGATTGCAGTTGTGTCCATAGAAATGGAGCTATTCCCAACAAAACATTGTATATTATATTGTGTATGTTGCAAAGACGTAGACTAAACACTGTGATTAAACTGACTCTACACCGATGATCTGCTGGAATGGGTAGATCTGTGTTTGTGCACTCCCACCTCTCGTCCTCTTCTCTTTCTTTTTTCAAACTCTGTTCTACTTTGCCCGTGTTGAGTAGTGACAAACGAATCCACCCCTAATGTTTGAATTGGTTTTAGGGAGCTCAATCTCAAACTCTGTGCACTGTTATTGGCTAGTCTCAGTGTAGTGCTCGTCCTTCTAGGAACTAAGTTTGTTGTGTTCCTTGCAAACACAGAATACAAGCTAAGACACTGAAGGGTGATCTTGAGCAGCGCAATAAGAAGTTGGAGGAGAAGAGTAAGTTCTGTTCTTGTGTTGTGCACTTGCAAAACATCCATACTGGACAATTCTCGTGCAGTAAAACCTGGTTTAAGCGACCACCCCACGGTGCAAGCAAAAGTGGTCGTTAAAGCCAGGTGGTCTTTAGAACCAGGTCCCACAGTGTCTGTGTAGAACTGGCAGTGCATGGAGAGACTGTCATTAAAGGGGAAGTCCGGTGAAAAATTTAAATTTCAGGGTCGGTAGAGTTTTGGGCGCTGAGTCGAATGGTGTTGGTCCCACGTGTCTCTGACAAAGCGTTCTCGAGATATTTCCGTTTGAAAAACTGAGTTTCGGGGGCTGCCCCATGACGTCATGCGGCCGCGCCACACCCTCCGCAACGTCATAGCGTGCAGCTAGGTCAAAAGGAGTGCGTGAAAGCAATAGTGTCAGTGCTATTTCAAATGATTTGGCGACTGATATTAGGTGGTGCAAGCAACCCCGAAGACCTAACTCCTTGTGAGAGTGAGGATGCAGCCATGGCTGACCTTCATGAGTTTGGTCTGGGGCTGAGAACCTTGGTATTCAGCTGAAGAAATGGCCGCGCGGGCCGGTCAAGAGTGAGCGCTACTGAGTTTCCGACTGATGAAGAAGCAGCAGCTATTGCAGACGAGGCTGATATAATTATCAGATCGCTGGAGAGCAGGGTCGCCAAAATGGAGAAGAGTGATGCGAGTACTCTAAATGTTGTTCCATACCGATTCGCTTAGACTCCAGTAGCCTGGCACATGGTGATGTTTTGGTGCGAACTTGGCATATTTCGGACTACTCAATTGGAGAACAGTGCAGGCTCTTTGAACCACGGGCACGGCTCTTCGCTCGCAACGCTATTTGTCACTTGTCACGGTTGTGCACTCATCGCTGTAGCATAAAATAATGAGGCGGGACTGGAGCGGAAAACTAAAATTTTCTTTCTCAAAGCACAACCACCGGCACCGGCAAGGAGAAAAGCACGTTCTCTGACTACGTGAACTGATACGAGTGTAGTACATGACAAGTCTGTGTGTTGACTAGTTTTCTGAGTCTTGTGACTCGAGTCTTGTTGTAGCTACCCCAGCAAGGCAGTGCGGGAGTAGTTCCGTGTGTGATGAGTTTGTTGACTGCACTACAGCTAGCATGCACGCAGCGCATTGCTAGAGCCGTAGAGGCCATTGCATGCTGACGGAAAAAGTCCAACTCGGAAACGGCTAAAATACGGTATAACCTCGAGGTTTACCGAGCTGAAAATGACAGGGTACGTAGTATTTGTAACACTGAATCGAATGGTCTTGGTCCGAAGAAGCTGCGACAAACGGTTCCCCAATCGAACGCGCTCCGAATATGGCCATTTTGTACACAACTAGATGGTGTGGCTACCTGGCTGCACGCTGTGACGTCATCACCTGGATCTGGGTGATGTGCGCTCAAATTTGCGCATGTTCGATTGGGCGTATCTGACGAACCATGGGCCGCAGCCTCCTCGGACAAAGACCATTCGACTCAGCGACCCGAACTCTACGGACTGTGAAATTTAAATTTTTCACCGGACTTCCCCTTTAAGAGCAGGTGGTCGCTAAACCCAGAGGTCGCTTACACCAGGTTTTACTGTATATGCAAAAGAAGAAAGACTGGCCGTGTTCCTAGACTGCATGTACTGGAGCAAGTATGACTGTGTTACGGAAAGTATGACTGTGTTACGGAAAGTGTGATTGCTAGAGCAAGTGTGCATGCAACATGTGACTGTTGACCTGGATGGAGCGTCTCTTTTTCACACACACGTGCATTTCCCATGCTGCAAAGTATGCATGACTCTTTGAGAATTGAATTTGTTGAAACTTGAAAGCCATTCCTCTCCTCACCGATGTGTGCATGTGTGTGTGTGTGTGTGTGTGTGTGTGTGTGTGTTTGTGTGTGTTTGTATGCGTGCGTGTGTGTGTATGTGTGTGTGTGCGTGCGTATGCGTGTGTGCGCGCATGTGTGTGTGTGTGTGTGTGTGTGAGTGTGTGTTTGTTGACAGATGCTCATTGCAATTCTCTGAAGGATAAGGTCGCTAAAAAGGAGGAGGAGCTCCTAGCATTGCATAGCAAACACAAAAGTTTTCAAGAAAAGACTCGATCCGTGAGTGCAGCAATGCCTGTGTGCATGCATGCGTGTGTGCGTGCATGTGTGTGTGAGGTGTGTGTGGGGGGGGGGGGGGGCGTGCATGCGTGCGTGCCTGTCAAGCAAGCGTCTGCAGTCATACTCTCTTTATCCAGTAGAGTTATGTGCGCAGGCATGCCACTGGTCAGCTCTGTATCCTGTTGGCTTACATACACATGAACACGTTCTTTCAGTTGGAGAAATTGTTCAAGCATTGAAGTGACAAGTTGAACTTGAATGGAATGATTATGGGCTATTCCAAGGTCACCATTGTATGCCTGTGTGTGTTGTGTGTTGCATGCCATGCCTGATTTGACTGCTATGTGGCAGTGTATACATGTATGGTGGGCCAGTGCACTGCTGCAAGTGTATACACACTTAAATACTTTCAAGTAGAATTCTACTTCTGTTATGTGCTCCTCTAGACGATCAAAGTCTTGCAAGATAATCATGAGCGCACGCTTCAACGCGAGGTGAGTTATTGATGTCTCTCTCTCTCTCTCTCTCTCTCTATCTCTCTCTCTCTCTCTCTCTCTCTCTCTCTCTCTCTCTCTCACTCACTCTCTCTCTCTCTCTCTCTCTCTCTCTTCTCTCTCTCTCTCTCTCTCTCTCTCTCTCTCTCTCTCTCTCTCTCTCTCTCTCTCTCTCTCTCTCTCTCTCCCCTCCCCCACACCCTCCCCGTTCAAACAGTTCACACTGTACTCCACTGGGCAGTGCATTGTATTTTCAAGTTTGCCATGCTGGCCAGGCAGCAGGGAATCAGCATTCATCATCCATCAGGTCATACACGGACCCCTGTTAGCTACTCTATAGCAGTATGTTTAGTGTAGTAATATGAAAATCAGGATAATATGCCGCAATTCCCTGGATTTCTTGCATGTCCAGTCTGCTTTCTCTGAGAAATTCTGCAATTTCCACGCGGACAGTGTGGTGCATTTTTTCCATGTCTGTGTCTGAGCAGTTACTACAGTGCATTTCAAAAATATAGACGCGTGATTTCAAAAAACCGCTAGGCTAGCATCTATACCACTTAAAGGGGAAGTATACCCGAAAAAATCAAATTTTCACCAGTTGTAGTCTTCGGGGTGCTGGGTCGAATGGTCTTGGTCCGAGGAAGCTGAGACGCTCCCTTCCTCCTTTATTCCCAATCGAAGTCGCGCACTTCCACCGAAACTGGGTGACTGCACCCTACTAGATAGGGATTTGTATGGAAAAGTCACTAAAAACGCCGTTTCGTTCTTATAAAAGCACGGATGACCGCGATTGGTCCATATGTTGTAGTCTTTTGGCCGCTGAGTCGACTGGTTTTGGTCCGAAAAGGCTGCAATGCAGCGTTCGGCTCTTATCCCCAATCGAACACGGTTGAGTGAGCGGTCACGTGCTCATGCGTCCACCAGTCGCCTGGTCACACTGCCTGCAGAGTACAATTTTCACATCAAGATTTAACTCAAAGGTTCAAAGCAGGGAGTCGTTAGAGGCTTTTACGACTCCCTGGTTCAAAGGTTCAACTCGAGTGACATAAACGGGCCCAAACAGGCTGTAAATGAGCACGTGACCGCTTACTCAACCGTGTTCGATTGGGAATAAGGGCCGAATGCTGCATCGCAGCATTCTCGGACCAAAACCAGTCGACTCAGCGGCCAAAAGACTACAACATATGGACCAATCGCGGTCATCCGCGCTTTTATAAGAACGAAACGGCGTTTTTAGTGACTTTTTTCCATACAAATCCCTATCTAGTAGGGCGCAGTCACCCAGTTTCGGTGGAAGTGCGCGAGTTCGATTGGGAATAAAGGAGGAAGGGAGCGTCTCAGCTTCCTCGGACCAAGACCATTCGACTCAGCACACCGAAGACTACAACTGGTGAAAATTTGATTTTAGGGTATACTTCCCCCTTTAAAATCTGTGATCACTTTGCGCATAAAAATTTCAAAATTGGACGTTTTCTATCCGATTGCTTAACCCTTTGACGTCCATGGTTCGATTTCGAACCATGGGCATTTTGTATGCATGTGGGTGCAGTCAAACTTTCAGTTCTCGGCCAAATCTTGACCAAATTCAACAATCGAAGGGTCTAGGTGGTAGAGAAAACTCTCAGCTATCGCCTCGAACAGGTCCGAAGTCTCTCCGATGAAGTTTGAGTGAGCGGCGAGCGACCGAACATTTTGAATTTTCTGTGCTGCGTGCTGCGAGTCAGCAGTGCGTGAAAAAAGGGATTTTCCCAGCTTCATGACACGCGGCACGTGCCAGGACCGGCGCGGCGCGAAGTCATGCCAAGGTAAGCTTCTACTCGAAAAATTTGAACAGTTCCGAGCTATTATAGATTCAGTGAAATGGCTACAGGAGACCGATTTCGTCTCAGATCTGGAGCTGGACTCGTGTTTGGAGCGCGTTGTGGCGAACAATGAGTATTGCTCTTGGCGAGTTTGGGCTCATTGTATTTCTCTCATCAAGAGCTTTCCAACGAGCCCAAGATCTTCAAAATCGGTGAAGTAGAACCAAAGTTATGTTGGAAATTGAGTGCGCATTTTCGTCACTGCCACAAATTCCGAGGAAGCAAAAAAGCTATAATGAACTCCAAAGGGTTAAAACATTCTATGAGAATAATTGGGGGAAGGACCTCAGCAATATTCCGCAGAAAATTCTCAAAATGATCCAGCCAAATTTGAAATAATTCAAAAATACCAGGCATCTATATTTTTGAAATGGACTGTAGTGATGGCAAGTGTTTTACTGACCCTTTTATGCCATGTGTAATGTGTTTACACTTAGATTCAAGATCGAGATAAGCAGCTGAAAGATCTGCAAGAGTACTCCAAACAGCAGGAAGTGAGTTGTAACCTTACTACTCTCTGTTGCATGCGGTTTCGAACAAAGCTTCAACTACTGATTCACTCATGCCAAGAAAAAGGCGCTTGCCTGATTTTGTGATTTATATTATTATAATTATTATTATACGCATTCCCGCGTTGAAGTGTAGCAGCAGTATGCTGCGTCCACAGCTTCGCTTATGCAGAATAGCTTGGGTGAGAGGAGAGGGGAGAGAAAGCAACAAGGCTCTACACTTGCGATAATTTGTGATTTATGGGTAATATTCATATACTATTCTAAATGTTGCTAGTGTTGCTTTGAAATAGAAATAGTTTTCCCCCTGGCCCCTGTCACACAACAGCGCAAACAACTTGGTAGAGTTTCTGACTTCTTATACAAACGGAAAGGGCACAGGAGGAGAAAGACGAAAAGACTCGACAAAACGACGACGGGAAAAGACACCCGGGAAAAGACTCGAAGAAAACAACAAAGAACAAGCAGTAATAAACCGACGACAAATCGGGACGACCAATCAGGGACTAATACGTACAGAACACATGACCAAGACAACCAGACCACGGACGAATCACACATGACTCTCATTCCCAGACCAAACTAGCACTGCGCATGTACAGCATTCACTTGACAGTCACTCTCACACAGACGGAAGCAGATCCTCACACTCTGACAACGCGTACTCTTGCATGAACCACATACCATAAACGTCACACATCACACCATACTCGCACGTACACTTAGACCATATATGACATCAGACACTGGACTCTACAAGACAAGAACCAAACACAACAACATGCGTAAATCGTAGTCGTAATACAATTTCGCAACAGCTGTGTTGCTGTGTTGCTGTGTTGGGCTAATGTGAGTTATCGAGATTGCCCGTGTGTTTGGTTGATGTGACTTTTTTATTATTATTCCACAATCACGATGACATAGTGCCAATAAACATGTGATGCGGGCGATTTTAACCAGCCATGGTGGGGAAAACTGAGAAAAAGAAGGAGGAAAAAGAACAATGAAAGCAAAACAAAAGGAGTACTAACTACCGTCATCAATCCAACTTAGGTAAGCTCGTGCAGAATGGAACAAAATGCAGCATAGGTGTCACGGGATTTTACCTCCTGCGAAAGCCGAGACCAATGAGAATAGGACTTGAATAGAGGGGGTTTTAAAAGGATCGATGATCTGGCAAGTGGGAACTGGAGAGAACATCTAGTAGGCGAGCTATTATTGAACCAGCTTAAATGCGCAAGTCCATGCGGAAGAGCAAGTTTAAGCTTAATACGGTGAATGAATTTACATGCCGAGTGGGGAAAGCGTTCTGAAAGAGGGGAAGAGGAAGCCAAAATGTATAGCGTCTGAGAGGAGGTTAGAGGGGGCATACAAAATATTAATCGAAGCAACTTACGGTGCGTGACTTCTAACCGATGCATAAGAGCAGAGGATAGACCAGAGGACCAAACGAGAGAGCAGTAATCAAACAAAGGAAGAATATAGGAGTGATAAATTTGTATTCGACAACCATGGTGCAGATGGGAAATGTGAGAAGAAATGCAGCCTATAGCGGAGCAAACTTGCTTTTCAATATAATGTTACGTGCGAATCCCAGGACAAGTGTTCATCAAGAAATCTACCATGGTGTTTGTGATTTTTAACTATGTTGATAGCAATGGGATCGTCAGGGAAAGTAAAAAGTCGAGTCGTGAGGAGGGTGAGGTCACTGGAGGGTCGTGGGGGGATACAAAGGATTGCCGTTTTCGACACGTTGGGGCGGAGTTTCCACTCCGACATCCAGCGCACAACTTGGTTAATGTGATACTGTAGCGAGTCACAGGCTTCTAATAAGCCTGGTTCGGTTATATGGAGCGCCGTGTCGTCCGCGTAGAGAGATGTATGCTCCAAAGATGCCAAATCATTTACGTATACATTGAACAACAGAGGCCCCAAGATAGAGCCCTGGGCACTCCAGAGTGGACTGTTAGAGGGGCGGACAGGGCAAGTCCAATTCGGACACTCTGTCGACGTTCAGTGAGATAGCTGGTAAGCCACTGCAGACTTACCCCAGTTACGCCAAACGTTGCTAGCTTATGGAGGAGACCCCTTGTTCAGACAGTGTCGAATGCTTTGCTCAGGTCGAAAAAACATAGGAGGCTAAGTTGTTTTTGATCCTTGCATTCATATAGCTTCTGCACAAGCCTCAACATCTTCCCGGACGAACTTCAACTGCGCACTGCCCAGGATACACAAAGGTTGGCCATCCAGCACCACCACTGTTTGGCCCGTGTGGGCCGTCACTGGAGTCCCGAGCTGGTCGACCAGTGCTGACGTCACCAACGTCCGGGTAGAACCTGTGTCTATGACGGACCGCACACGGACTCCCGATCCAGTGTCACAGGACACATCGACAAAGACCTTCGGCAATCCTGGCCGTGCCAAATTCGCCATGCACAGGCACCTCTCAGACTGCACTGGCTCTGCAGGTGCTGCCGATGACTGAGTCAAAGAGGCGAGGAACTTGCGGCGCAACCGACAGTCCCTCTTTATACAGCCCTCTTGATCGCAAAAGAAGCACGTAAGCGGCCCTCTGCTCCTTGGACGGAGGGCGCGGCTTCTCACTGCCCCTCTGCTGCCGTCCGCCCTTCTGGTACCGGCGGTGCGGACAGTTGAGCTGGACGTGTCCCACCTTATTTCAGTTGAAGCACAACACACTGGACTGGCGAAGTTCCGGAGCAGCAGCGGTGACAGCTCCCGATGCACTGGCACGCTTGCGGCAGGAGTCGTCCGTAGATCGCAGAGCACGGACTTTGGCGACGCACTTAGTGACAGTCAGGTCTGACTCCGTGCTCGCCATGCGCACCTGACGTCCATAATCCAAGGACAGGCCATCCAACAATTGCTCGAGCAACACCATATCCTTGTCATGGGCACATGTGTGAGCGGACAGCGCGGCAATAAGCGCGGGTTCAGCCTGTTCAGCGCGGGTTCAGCCTGTTCAGGTCGGTGACGTACCTATCCACAGGCTCATTGTCCCGGAGCGTCCGCGCTTTAAATTGTCGGAATGCATCCGCCGGGGTCATGGTGTAAGCAGACTCCAGGGCCTTCTTTACTGCTGATTCACTGGCCTTGTCAGTATCAGTCAACTGCTCATACAGGTGGAAGGCATCACCATCCAAAAACAATGGCAACGATGCCATGCGGTCGGTTTCAGTCGACAGTTTCTGTAATCGGCACAGAACCAAAAACTTCCTCCAAAACAACTGGAAGTCCTCGCCTTTTCCTTTAAACACTCTCAAGTAACCATCCATTTTTATGGATGCCATGGTTACACTGCCACTGCACTGGTGTAGCTCAAACCAACACCACAAACACTGCAAATACTAAAATTCACTCGACTGCCTCCTGCCGTTCCACACGAGCACTCGACCGGTCCTGAGGCTCTGTTCGATCGGGTTTCGGTACCACTTGCTACTGAATTGTTACTACTAGCTTAATTAACCACCCCTGTATCCAACCCTTGGCATGCTACAACGTGGGTGAGAGAATACATACAGTAGATTCACATAGCAGACTCAGCGGAGGACGTTCAGGTTGGTTGTAACTCTGAGTTTCATGCCGCTAGGCAATCATCAGACAACTGATACTCTGGTCTACCCAACAGTATGCTTATAAACACATAGGGCCACAAGCATAAACAAATTTAGCGCTAAATCTGGTGTGAGGTATGGGGAGAAAGCTGGCGCGGGCCAAGGCGCGACCGTGGAAGTGCCAGGAGGGTGGCGGGCAACAGGCAGGTGTGAGCATGAAAGCGCGGAAAGAGGCGATGGGGAGGCAGTGTACAGCAGATGTGTGGGGGGTGCCAGGAGGGTGGCGGGCAGTGGCCCAGTGAGATCACTACAAGTAGGGAGTCGTTTGGTGACGGGCAGGCGTGAGCAGAGTGGCATCGCCAACAACAGGCCAAGGGATTGTGTTATTTTATAATAATGGGTGCTCAGGCAAAGTGCAGTACAGTACTTGGTCAGTTCATGTGATAGGTGTGAAATTTGCGAGGCGGAACTTATTCTCATGCCTGCACTTCGAGACCATCTCAGACCGCTTGTTGAGTAGGAGCTTCTTGGGTGTAGTCAGGATGTGGAATTTTTCCGCGGTACAAAGATTGCATTTTTACAGTAGATTCACAGTATAAAATTGGAAAGACGATCATCCAAAGAAAGAAAAATGCAGCTGCAGCTGCGCATCAAAATCAAATGTAAAGATGGCGACCATGAACGACTGCGACGTGGATAAACTGCAAAACAAACTAGTGCAGCGACACTGACTTGACTGAGTAAAGAAGCGGAGAAGACGAAAACGGCAAGGAAAGCGGATCGCTACGATCGCTCAAAAGCCTAGAGCGTGCATAGCGCATGCAGTCAAACGGTCACGTGATAAGTGCGTACACAAGTCATACGTCATAATAATGCAGTAGACAAAGAAAAGGAAACAAAGCTGAGCGCGAGGCAAACAAATCTGCAGAGCGCGAAAATATAAACACATTGAACGAAGGATTTGTTTGAGAACAAAATGCACAGGCAGACAAAGAAGAAACAGTTCGAAGCTAGAATCAATGTCCGTGTTTCTTAGAATCAATCATGGAGAAAGCTAACTAAGAGTAACTACCTCTGTCACGCAAGACCGGACCTAAACACCTACGAAGTAAGAATTGATGTGTTACGAGAAATACGTGTAGTGAAATAAATTGGTATGCATTGCATCGTGACACAACTTGCCAAGCTGCATGTACGTGATTGTAAATGTACAAGCAACATGCAACGTCGTAGTAAGAACAATCGTAATTCGTGAATTCCGTGTTGTTGACTCAAGGCAAGCAGTACCACGTTTACACGCTGACAACGACGAACGAATTGATTAGACTCTGATAATAAATACTAATAATATGAAAGAATAACAAAACGTAAATGTCACCTACGATTACACAACAACTGCCAGGCGGCTTATCACATTGTCGTGCTAGTATGCATTTGATATGAAAGCTGCAAGGTACAATCTCAATATGTATGCCCGTATTGCCTCTGTACTTGCTAGGAGAAAACGGAGAAAGTACGCGAGGGATATGAAATGGAGCAACGCGTTCTCATCAGCTCTTGGAATAGAGCGGTAAGTTAACTGACTTTTCCTGTGCATGTGTGTGTGTGTATGTGTGTGTGTGTGTGTTTGTGTGTGTACGTGTGTGTGTGTGTGTATGCACGTGTGTGTGTACGTGCACGTGTGTGTACGCACGTGTGTGTGTGTGTGTGTGTGTGTGTGTGTGTGTGTGTGTGTGTGTGTGCATGTGCATGCTTGTTTGTGCGTGTTGCGTTGAAGAAATACCGCTGACGCTTCCCGTCTGCGTTGCGTTGTACTGTATTCTGTGGAGTTCGGGGAAGAAGTAATTTCTTCATCACGGCATTGCAACATGGCATGACATACCATCTTCATAATAATAATAATAATAATAATAATAATAATAATAATAATAATACCACAGCACGCGTACAAAGGCCAAAGAACAATGCATGAGAATACACTGAAATTAAGCCAAGTCCGCTTCTGTCTCCAGTCAACAAAAACTCATCCATAAACAATGTCTGATCTCCATTTCGACTTGTCTGCAGCAAATGCTCGTTCTCCTTCTAGGTCGCTGGCATTCTTCAAAGGAATGTTCATGCCTGCCATCAATATCCACTTCCCTATAAGCTGTGATACACGTATGTGCGCTCGTGAAACAAGTTGAGGAAGATGAGGACAGAGGCAGATGAGTCATAACTCTGAGTTTCGCACCGGTTGATCATCAGAATGATCACACACAGCACACTCAGCTTACTCAGCAGCACAACTCTGCACCCAGCATGCTCCACCATACCTAGTCCCTTGAGCTTGTTGATTCCTGTCGTGCAAGTGACACAGCATTCCTGCTTTTGATATGTTCTTGTTCTGTACAGTGTGAGAAGCTGCAGCATTCAGCATCGCAGTCCAGACTGGCTGGTCATACTGACTCATCGTTCATGACCAGTGCTTTACCTGCGTCGTTCCTTGCACGCCAGCGACAAGCGCTGGTTCAACAACAGACTACAGCCTCATTCACTGGTGTGGCTCCCCGCACCGGTGCTACACCATGATAGCCTGGTCAGTGGAAGAAGCAGTATCATGATGTGTTTGATTTGATTCACTCACCTAGCCAGCACGTCATGTACTGTGTGATAGCCTGGTCAGTGGAAGAAGCAGTCACATGATGTGTTTGATTTGTTAGCACTAACCTAGCCAGCACATGCACTGTACGACAGCCTGGTCAGTGGAAGCAGTCACATGATGTGCTTGATTTGATTGACTAACCTAGCCAGCATGTCATGTACTGTGTGAGTGTAGAGAGCGGAATGTCTACTTCGAAGTACTCTAGAAACGGTGAGTACCGATTGACTGTTCCTACATTGCTATCTTTGTATGATTTCTGTGCTGTCTCCTTTTGAAAGAAAAAAAAAACGTTAAAATATGTGCCTGCATCCAATCTTGCATCAAATTAGGACCACCAAATTATTTTCCTTATCTTATTCCCAAAGCTATCCGCAAACTTCAGTTCCTTAGTCTTGCTCTAGTGTTTTACACTACCATGGGTGACTACCATGGGTGACTATGGGTGACTTGTGCCCGTTATTATTCATTATGATTACTATACAATCCTACTCGTCTGGTCTTTCAACTTCTGTTTAGCCCGCATGGGCTTGTGTTAGCAAAGAAACTGTCACCCATGCGAATGTGCACTCTGCTTTCAGCTCACTTTCGAAACAAGGCTCTGCTACAGTTGAATCTCCTTCAAAATGTGTCATTGTTGTGCAAGCATGCTGTTCATAGACAGACACACACCACTCGGGCCTGGTCACATGACGTGGTCACATGACGTGGTCACATGACGTGGTTACGTGACCTGGTCACATGACCTGGTTACATAACGTGGTCACATTACGTGGTCACATGACCTGGTTACATTACGTGGTTATAATTATGACGTGGTATATGTCTAGGCAGAACTCTGTCGGCCATTACTGATAATGTTAGCTATGAAAAAGCAAAGACAAAGGAAAGTGACTGGAAGCGTCGTTAGCAACATTTTAAGCAATACAAAGTGTGTGTGTGTGTGTGTGTGTGTGTGTGTATGCGTGTGTGTGTGTGTATGCGTGTGTGTGTATGCGTGTGTGTGTATGCGTGTGTGTGTATGCGTGTGTGTGTATGCGTGGGTGTGGGTGTGGGTGTGGGTGTGTGTGTGTGTGTGTGTGTGTGTGTGTGTGTGTGTGTGTGTGTGTGTGTGTGTGTGTGTGTGTGTGTGTGTGTAGAGTGGTGCAAGGTTAGTAGTGTATGGGGGTAAAATGAATTGCTGTGACAATCAGAGCTCAGGCTCGCTCGAGCGGCTGAACTGCACGTACAAGTCTGAAGGGAGACGAAATGCAGAAAAGAAAAGAAAAAATAACTGCTATACTAACTTAGTAGGAGCATATCCTTGTGTGTTTAGCTATGGATTGCTGCACAGAACTGCAACAACCCATCAGCATCCGGGGACGTGTGTCAGTGATTTCTTGAAGTAGTAAAATGATGACTTGATTATGCACGTCTAAAACTTCCAGAAGCAAGTAGTCGGCAATTCCACGGGGATGTACGTCTTCCTGTATGGCTCTTCAGTGCCGCGCAAGAACAAGACTCTTTCTTTCGTGAACGTTCCGACTCTGGTTCCCTGCGGACATGTTGGCCACATCTCTGCACTCTTAGCTCGCTGGTTGCCGATAGTCCAATAGAGGTATGCCTTGATGGGTTTGGTAGCTGGAGAGAGACAGGCAGGCAGGCAGACAGAGAGACAGCTAAGGATGTGTGCTAAGGATGTGTAGCGCCCGGTGCTACCCTGTTCATGAAAGGTTGGATTTCTCTGGCCAGTACCATACTTGTAGGCACAAGAGTACAGGTAGTAATAAGAAAGTAGCAGACAGTGAGTGCCGCTGCACTGCCAAGATGTTTGGGTTGACTGCAGTGAGTGCTGCACTGCCAAGACGTATGACGTATGGGTTGACTGCAGCGAGTGCTGCACTGCCAAGATGTATGACGTATGGGTTGACTGCAGCGAGTGCATAGCAAGTGTTGCTGAGCTGACGTCTACATGTACTGCGGTGATGCTTAATGAAATCCGAGAGCAGTCACGTCATTCAAGTTTGCACCGTGCACCTTTTCGCAGCCCAGTGTTCACAGGTCTGAGGCTGGGCAATGCCCGGTGCGTACTCGAGTGACGCAACTGTGTGTACTTGAGTGACGCGACTGTGTGTACTGGATTTCATTGAGCAGCACTGTACATGTATGTGTGCAAGCCACGCCTTTATGGCTCCACACACAACAACCACGCGTGTATGGCTCCACACACAACAACCACGCGTGTATGGCTCCACACACAACAAGCCACGCGTGTATGGCTCCACATACAACAACCACGCGTGTATGGCTCCACACACAACAACCACGCGTGTATGGCTCCACACACAACAAGCCACGCGTGTATGGCTCCACACACAACAAGCCACGCGTGTATGGCTCCACACACAACAAGCCACGCGTGTATGGCTCCACACACAACAAGCCACGCGTGTATGGCTCCACACACAACAACCACGCGTGTATGGCTCCACACACAACAAGCCACGCGTGTATGGCTCCACACACAACAAGCCACGCGTGTATGGCTCCACACACAACAAGCCACGCGTGTATGGCTCCACACACAACAAGCACGCAGGGATCACCTATATGAGTACATGTACTGTGAAAACTTACTTGGCTGCATGCAGCAACGTGTAGTTGGGCACACGTCATTGAAGATGTTGCTGAGCGTGTAGCGGAACGACATTTGATAGTCACCCTCGCGTTGGCACCACTGGAAACCTGACTTGAAGTAAAGGCTTGTTTTGCTTGACATGTAGTACCAGTTGGACACACGGGTGCGAGTGCAGCGGTCCTTGTTGTTGCGTGTGTATGTACCGTTGAAACCGGACTGCATGCGGTACCAACTCAGCCAAGACGCTGGCAAGTCAAAGCGCTGTGGCCAGGATGGTGTGTGCAGAGTGAATTCATTGAAATATTTGGAGTTGTAGAATGGAAGATGATCTTGCATTGAAAAGTCTCTCCACTGGCTGTGTGAGCGCTCCTGTCTCCACCACTCCGACACCATGCAACCTGGTAACAGACAGGAGAAGGAACATATCCGCATGTGAGCACAAGCTAGAGTGTCCATTCAGCTAGAGTGTCTATTCAGCTAGAGTGTCTATTCAGCTAGAGTGTCTATTCAGCTAGAGTGTCTATTCAGCTAGAGTGTCCATTCAGCTAGAGTGTCTATTCAGCTAGAGTGTCTATTCAGCTAGAGTGTCTATTCAGCTAGAGTGTCTATTCAGCTAGAGTGTCCATTCAGCTAGAGTGTCTATTCAGCTAGAGTGTCTATTCAGCTAGAGTGTCTATTCAGCTAGAGTGTCCATTCAGCTAGAGTGTCCATTCAGCTAGAGTGTCCATTCAGCTAGAGTGTTCATTCAGCTAGAGTGTTCATTCAGCTAGAGTGTTCATTCAGCTAGAGTGTTCATTCAGCTAGAGTGTTCATTCAGCTAGAGTGTCTATTCAGCTAGAGTGTCTATTCAGCTAGAAATACAAGACTAAGACTAGAAGTGACGACCGTTAGATCCACTGCAGTACATCGTGTTAGCTATCGTGTTAGCTATCGTGTTAGCTATCGTGTTAGCTAGAATCGTGTTAGCTAGAATAAATCTATCAAACCCCCAAGAGTGTGCAGCTCCCATATGAAGTAGTAGTACGGTCGTGACGGAATTCTCAGTCAATTACTCTAATTTCAGAAATTTTCGGTGCTCAATATTTTCGGTATGAGGGCAAAAGGCCAGGTTAGGTGAACAGAATTTTCGGTACAGGGAAGCTGTTCGGATTATGCGTGTTAGTGTTTGTTCGGTGTATTGAAATTTTAGGTATGAAGCAGATGCACCGAAAGTACCGAAAATAAAAGTACACCGAAAATTTGTGAAACTACAGTATGTCATTTTTGTGATGCGATGCTCCGTGCACCCATTGCCCCTCTCTCTCCCGTGGACATTCGGTGTACGCGTGTTGTCAGGCCTCTCTCCACACGGCATGCAGCACTGGCATTATACACAGCTGAGAGCAGCAGTGCATGGCTAGTAGTGGTCAAGGCTGAGAGCAGCAGTGCATGGCTAGTAGTGGTCAAGGCTGAGAGCAGCAGTGCATGGCTAGTAGTGGTCAAGGCTGAGAGCAGCAGTGCATGGCTAGTAGTGGTCAAGGCTGAGAGCAGCAGTGCATGGCTAGTAGTGGTCAAGGCTGAGAGCAGCAGTGCATGGCTAGTAGTGGTCAAGGCTGCCTCACTGACTCACTGTTCATGGGGTAATATCCAGCACTATGGCATGTCATGGCGTATGCGCACAGTGTCCTCTTCAGACACCTCTCCCGGTTGCCATGGCAACTCTTCATCACCTCGGCACATCTGTAAAGGAATGCGCTGGCTGGGATGGTGCTGTTGCAGTGTGAGTACATCTGCTTGTACGCCTGCACAGTACAACACAGCAGCAGTATAGCAGCGGCAGCAGCAGCAGCAGCAGCATCGACCAATACAACATAGTTATGAACATTCAAAGCAACACACCACCAGTACCAGTACTGCTCAAATCAAACCCCTTTCCCCAAGAGGTAGTGATGCGCTGAAGGGAACTTCATGTCAGAAATTCTCGCAAATCAAACCCCTTTCCCCAAGAGGTAGTGATGCGCTGAAGGAAACTTCATGTCAGAAATTCTCGCAAATCAAACCCCTTTCCCCAAGAGGTAGTGATGCGCTGAAGGAAACTTCATGTCAGAAATTCTCGCAAATCAAACCCCTTTCCCCAAGAGGTAGTGATGCGCTGAAGGAAACTTCATGTCAGAAATTCTCGTGATTTAGTGAGAGGCATGAAACCCTTAAAGTCAACACCAACACCCAGCTCATATCGGACTGTGGCCACGTTCACAATACTAGAAAGTCTTGTCTTGGTTTAAAACAATACTAGAAAGTCTTGTCTTGGTTTAAAATGGTATGCTGTTTGCTCACAACATGGACATCTGAATGGCATGTGGAGTTGAGCATGGATAGTGTACAATGGAGTACACTGGAGTACACTGCACTTACCGCATAGCAGAACTGGTATGATTCATTGAATTGAGCATTGCTGAATGGCATGACTGGGTAGCTATGGTCGTTGTGATCATGGCAAACTCCACCAACCGAGTAGCTACGGAAGAACGCCATTCTGTCAGCAGTCACCATGTTACTGTGGCGCATCATCATGTCATCGTCAGGATTGTAGTTCATGTTGCCGCAGATACCGCGGCTACGACCAAAGTAGGCTGTGGGACTCATGCCAATGTTGATGCTGTGCGGGCAAATGTACATCATGAAATGGAAACGATGGAAGTAGACACGATAGCAGCCACAGCTCTCACCCAGGACTCGGCGAACACTGAATTCTTCAAAGTTGTACTCTCTGTTTTCCGTCAATGTGGAGAGTGTGTGCTGCCTAGCAGCCACTGTGAAGTGATTGGGTGAGAAGATGTATGTCTTGCCGCCGTAACGCTGGGTGAACTCAACACGAACGTCATGGTGGTGCGGGTTGTCACGGTTTGCTCGCGTGATGCTGAAATAGTCGTTTTCAACCAGGTAATGGCCACAACCATGATTGACGTTATGATGATATCCATCAAATGTCTGATAGCTCTTATCATACACATGGCATTGCTCTGAGTGTAGATACACAAATGTACACAACGAAAAGAAGCAAACAGAACAAGAATACCACTTGTAGTCAGAAGTAAAACTCCTCTCTCATTGGCATCACCTTGGCACTCCCAGCCAGGGAGTAATGATTGAATATTTTATGCTCCCAACACAGAGCTGCCAACAATCTCCGAGGAAGTCTCCCGATGTGTATTGTGTTTTGAAGCACCTCCCTATCTCACAACCACTACAAAAACCTGCCTACTCTGCACTGACTATGATTACTGTACTGCTGCACTATCATGTACAGCACTGTATTTTCAGTATGTTCTCCATTAAAGTGTTTCAGTACAAACTACTCACACAGTATACTTATTTACTACCCTGTCTCAGTGTCTGGTAATGTCTGGTAATGTCTGGTAATGTCTGGTAATGGTAATTTGAAGGAATGCTGCCATGGTGACCTCCCTACTGGTAATTCTGGCTTCAAGTTTATTTTCTAACCACACGGTTCGTCGTCAAGGTCATTGAAACGTTACGGAAATTTGTGGGCAGCACCCGATTAAGCGCGATGGGAGTGCACAAGTAATAGTCCGATTTCGAATTGAGGCCAATAGTAGACCTTTGTTCATATTGCACAGCCACAGGCAGCTGGCAGTTCATTGTATGGGTTTTCAGTGTACAGAACTTGATTACCATGGCAATGCGGCTTACCGAAGTCAGTCGGCGGCAGGATGGCAAAGAAGTTGAATGGCTGGTACTTGTACAGTCCCTGGAATGGCTCAAAGTTTGTCTGCACATCAAAGTCATTCATGAAGAAGCGGCGAGTTGACTGGTAGTTGAAGTAGTAGAATTCCTGGTCGTGATGCATATTCCAGTATCCACGAGATTCTCTTGGACTCATTGTACCTTCCGATATGTAGTTGTAGACCTTCATGCTGTCATGGTAGAAGAATCTGTAAAGAATATAAGTTCAAGGAGTGTGATAATCAGTACTGCGCAGTACCATGCAGCAGATACATTGACCCATGCAGTGCAGTGCAGTACCAAGCTTGTGGTTGTCACACAAGGCTATATCAGCAACATTACATATGCATGTCTGTATGTCCCGCAATGTGAATAGACTGATGATGTGAATAGACTGATGTGAATAGACTGATGACGTTGGCTACCGTTACTGTACTGGTATGTGCCATGATGTGTGTAAGCTAGTGGTGAAACTTGTGACTGCATCAGCTGGAAGGTATTGAACTGTGTGAGAATGCACCACTTACCGAGTATCAAAGAAATATCCAGTTCTGTTGCCGCGATAGACTGTGGTGAAGTTGAAACACGGGTTGTAGAAATTCCAGAGGAAGGTTGCGTTGAAAAGACTGCGTCCAAACCAGGTCTGGAAGTTGCCCTCAAAGTCCCGATAGGCGAAGTATCCATGGAAATACTCCGTGTAATTGTCCATCTCCACGTAATGTCCGGACACCATTGGGTAACGTCGTCCGTACGCTGAGATGTTGAAGTAGCGGAAACCGTGGTTGTCAAAGTACGGTCTGCGTTCAAAGTGATACGTGAACGTGGCGTTGCTGTATAACTCCTGGCCATATACAGGTGGGTAGAAGGCAACGTCCATGGTTTGGTAGTTAGAGAAGTTGCGGAAATGGAAGGTGTAGCGTGCCCGTGGCTGCGTGGTATATAGCTGATTGGTTTCCTGCCAGGAGAGGAATCGTCCGTTGTGCCATTGACGCGGGGTAGCACCAAGCGTGAAGTTGAATTCTCCGCTGAACGGGAACAGCGGATAGCCATGGTAGTGACGCGTGAAGTTGGCATACTGGGAGATTGTGGTCAGGTTGAATCCGCTGTAGTCGGCAAATCTGTAGCACCAGCTGCAGTTGTAGCTGTCGTCGTAGAAATACGGCATTGGGCG